CTTAGCCCTGGCTGATGCAGACGGGCTAACCTTAGCCCTGGCTGATGCAGACGGGCTAACGTTAGCCCTGGCCGCTGCTAATGGGCTAACGTTAGCCCTAGCTGCTAGGGATGGGCTAACGTTAGCCCTAGCTTTAACTTAATACTCTAACCTGGAAGCTGCTGCTGCCGCAGTGCATGCTGGGACAGCTGTCAGTCTGAAGAACGGACGAGTACACATATTGAGAACCTGCCAACAGTCTTAGGATTATTTGCATTATTATTATTATTTGGATCAATCATGTTTTTAGTTGAATAGAATTTTTATTAAAACATAAAAGGTTTTTAAATTAATGAATAAATATGATGTTGACTGACTAATGAAACGATACATAGATTTTTTAGTTTAAGCGTCCTTCAACCCTTAATTTCCCACTCTAGGACAATAATGGTATTTCTATTCTATTTTTGGTAGATCTGAGGTGAAACAAAGATGGAGCCATCAATCCTCTCCCCATCAGTTGATTGCAGTCAATATTCTCCCTCTCGTCTCCATCCTCATCCGGACAGATGCTGAACAAATAGCTAAACCTAATTCCTTCTTCAAAGCCTCTGCTCCTTTTTCCATCCCTTCCCTCTCCAGGGCCAGAAAACAGCCGAAATCAATTAGTATTCTGTTAGACAGCTGCGATGTGTGCGAGTGTGAACTCCAAGCTCTCCTCTCTCGTTAATCTCGCCACTTAGATCCCTCCTAATTGGGACGGACAGTCAGACGGAGGTGATGGAGGATGGGAGAAAAATCAGAGGGCAGGAAGGAAGAAGAGTTTTGAACCGCCGACGGAAAAACACAAACATTAGGAATGAATCCCAACAGTCATTAATACGCCACACAATATTCATAAGATGTAGGAATGAATGTTGAAATGAATATTCAGCATACTATAAAGGAGCTCATACCTCCCACTCATCCAGAGCAACATAAATAAAGCCAGCTTTCCCTCTGGTGTTTCCAGTGTGTCTAGATTTTCTACAAACATTATAAAATCATGTTTGTTTTAATCTAATGCAGGCCTTTCAGTAAAACAGAACTGAGTAAAAGAAAAAAGCCTTTCACATCAGTGTGAGAGGACAAACATGCCGTTTCCTGGCTTCTGTTGTGAATGTTTTACATGATTTATTAAACGGCGGTAGGCCTCCTCTGTAGCACTCTGACATCTGGGCATTAAAACAAAACATCAAGTGGGAAAAATGATTCAGTCACCTGAGCCAGGTGATGCACCAGTTAAGCTTTATGAGGGTCTGTTTACGACCTCAGACCAATCACACACCCTTAGAAGGCATGTTTTTATCTGCATGACAGACAATTAATTAAAGACGGAGAGAATTTCTCAGTTTTCCAGAAAACATGGATGCTGGCGTTATTTAACATCCTTTGAAATACTAATCTAACCTGAATTACCAACTTAATGCAGGGATTAAAGCAAAACTAAATC